TTGTTCTACATCAAACTTATGCTGGATTCTGAACATACAGTTTAAACTAGTGGTCAGCAAACCGCGGCTCACGAGCCACATGCGGCTCTTTGGCCCCTTGAGTGTGGCTCTTCCACAAAATACATGCAGGCGCGCACATACAGTGCAAACTGAAACTTCATGGCCCATGCGCAGAAGTCGGTTTTCGGAAAGGAGATAGAAGAAACAAGTATACAAGACGAGTGTGGATGGGAGAGTTGGAAGGGGTGGACCTCAGCGAACGTACCTCAATCAGATTGAGGACGTTTTTAGCAAAGGCCAGCTTAGGAGTACCCTAATTAAGTTAATAACAATGTACCTACCTATATAGTTTAAGTTTAAAAAATTTGGCTCTCAAAAGAAATTTCAATCGTTGTACTGTTGATATTTGGCTCTGTTGACTAATGAGTTTGCCGACCACTGGTTTAAACTAACACATTCAGAAATCAAAATCAACATATTATTGTTCTGGTTTCTATACATGCTCAACTTACTACTTTAAAGCATTTTTAGCCCTCGGGTTACATCAGTTTTTATAATACCACTCCCTGAAAGTTTTATGAAGAACACCCAAGAGCTGGCATGGGTACTACCACAGCCTTTTTGATCTCACAGCACCTCCTTTTTCCTTTCCTCTTTCCTAATTCCCACTCCCTCTCTTACTTCTCCTTAGCTTACGATATTTATAGAGGTTGCTTAAACACCCCAACCACCTGTCCAATACAAAGGGCTAAAAAGACCACTGACTTCCATTTGTGAAGGTATCTATATATAGGGCAGTGATGGCGAACCTTTTGAGCTCGGCGTGTCAGCATTTTGAAAAACCCTAACTTAACTCTGGTGCCGTGTCACATATAGAAATTTTTTGATATTTGCAACCATAGTAAAACAAAGACTTATATTTTTGATATTTATTTTATATATTTAAATGCCATTTAACAAAGAAAAATCAACCAAAAAAATGAGTTCGCATGTCACCTCTGACACACGTGTCATAGGTTCGCCATCACTGATATAGGGTCTCCTAAGCAAATAGAATTTCTATAAATGGTGGATATCAGCATGGTGCTTTGCAGATTCAGACTGATTGGGTTTGATGAATTCTGTCTGTCATTTACTAGCTGTATGAGCTGTTTTTTAACATTTCATGGGGCCAAATACCTACCTAATAAAGTTCCTAAAAGTAGCCAGTATATTATAGGTGCTCAACAAAAGGAAATCCACACCCTGGCCAGGAAACCCAATACACCAAGGCTGCAGATTTGATCTCTGGTCAGGGCACATACAAGAAGCAACCAATGAATGCATAAATAAGTTGAACAACAAATCGGTGTTTCTCTCTCCCTTCCTCTCTCTAAAATTAAATTTTTTAAAAAGTTTTGTTTTTTAAGGAGCCCTGGCCAGTGTGGCTTTTGGTTGAGTATTATCCCATGCACTTCAAGGTCGCCAGTTCAATTCCTGGTCAGGGAAAATGCCCAGTTGCAGGTTCAATCCCCTGTTAAGGAGGCAACTGATCAATGTTTCCCTCTCACATTAATGTTTCTCTCTCTCCTTCTCTCTTCCCCTCCCTCTAATATATATATGGAAATTCAGCTCAATATGCCCCAACCTGTAAATTTCTTTAGAAATTTTCAATTTATCCCCAAATCCAGTCTGCTGTTTCCAAGATTCCACAGAATCTCAAGCTACTTCTCAAAAAATTCTGTGGTCAAATACGTTTGAATAGAACCCAGTATCCAATACCTGCCTCTCTTGGAGGGTCATAATTTCACAAGGGCATAGTAAAGGCTTAGAGAAGCCCTGCAACAAACAACCCTACTTCCTTTTACCATGGAATCTTTCTTGGGGGGTGTAAAACCTGTAAGTAACTCACTGAAGAACTTCTCCAGAACCACTGAATGGAGAGATACTCTGATATTGAGGAGTAAAACATGAGGACCAGGTTTGAGAACTGCAAAGATGAGATAAACAAATGAAACAGAGATGCTGAAGGTATAAAGAGGTGGCAATGGGCAGTCAGCAGTCCCACAGGATCTCCAGAAAAGTGGCTTCAGCAGCACAATTACCACCCTAGCTTCTGCCCCACAATACCCAAAATTAGGCAAGTTTTTATGCTCCCTTCACCCACTACAGCAAGAGGTGGGCAACTTTCAGTTGAGCAGGTAATAGCAGGTGCCATTCTATTTCCACGTACTGGATCCAAGGTACTTTCACAGCTCTTGCTGCACCACATCCCCCCTCCACTCCAGCACATACATCCTATGACACGCTGTTTCAGGATTGCTCACCAAACCACCATGCATTCTGAGACCCTCTCAAAGCTAAGGTTTCCATTTGTTTCAACTCCTCTCTCCCAACTTCATAGTTACTTTCATATGATTAACATATCTAATACTTAATTTGTACTTACTATATGCCAACCTCATTTCTAAGCATTTAATACACTAAAACTCATTTAATCCTCCCAACAACCCTATGATGTCCTCTTTCACACATGAAGAACCGAGGCAGAGAAAGTTAAGGAACATGCCCAAAGTTACATGAAGTAGTAAGTGTCAGGTAAGATTCAAACCCAGGCTCCAGAGCTCAAGCTTGTAACAACTTTCCCAACTTACACTTAATCAGTTTTGTCCATTATCTACTTGTCAAGGTTAGTAGTATCACATTGTTCCAAGAAAACAATAAAACGAGTGAATCAATGATTGCAAAGTCTTCCTAAGAAGTATACTTGACAGAGCATGACCCATAGATTTGACCAAGCCCTGCCCTATGGCACTGGAGCACAGCCAGGGCACTCCCAGGCTACAAACACAACCAGAGTCTGCAGGAGTTGAGCACCCAAGTTAAAAATAGGTTCACTGGAAAAGGTTGAGAATTCCTGGTCTATTTTATCCCTAAGCCTCTAAAAACTGTATCTACGCCATTCCATATAAATTCTACCTATATCTTATGTCTACAAGATACACTGTACTATCCTAAGCAAAAACCTCATTTTCCATATTTAATTTGCCAAATAAGGAATTTAAAAGCCTCTTCATCATTGACTTTAGATAGCAGATGTGTATTGTCTGAACACTAAAGCCAATTTCTTTCTCTTTTTGCCAATTTCTTCTTGTCATCCTTTCCTTTTAGTCTTTATACAGAATCTGGGACCCCAGGACAGAGACAAAAAGTGAGTCCTCTATGAGCACTGCTGGGATCTCAATAGGAAACTGGCTTTGACAGAAAAGAATACAGTTTAATAGTGTCAGCTCTCAAGTCAAAATTCCTAGGTTCAAATTCTGGCTCAGTATTTACAAGCTGTATGACCTTGGGCAAGTTATTGACTCGCTGATTCTGTTTCCTCATCCATAAAATGGAAATATTTTAATAAATGGAGAGCATAGTCTATTTCTTACTAGAGTGTTATAGATAGTAAATGAGATGAGATATATATTAAGTACTCAGCAAAATACCTGGCACAGAATAGACAGTCAATAAATGTTAGCTATTAATACTGCGTATGTCTTTCTAAAATTCAGGTTTCTTTTGAAACCTCTGTGTGGTTTCAAAATGAAAAGAGCTTGAGGGGGTAGAGTGAAAACAAAGATTAAAAATTCTTTACAAAGGCAACTGAATCAATTATCCTACATGGAAAATATAGAGTATATAGCAAAAATGTCCATGAATTTTCCACACCCCATCGACAAACTTTGGCAATCTTCACTTTCTCTTTTGTGCCAAGGGATCTGAACTCATGTATGTTTTGAAAGCGTGGAACTCAATGTCAAGGTAAGCGCAGAGATATAAAGTCATAATGCCAAGGTGTGGAGAAAGCCCAAACTAAGAAACCTGCCGGCTGCCATTTCCAAAATTTGCAACCAGTAAAACACATACACAAACAAAATATTGAGAATTGAGTTTCAGTGACAGTTTACCATCATGCCACTGCATTAACAAAAACCTCTAGACACCATGCAGATGGCAAAAAGTAGACTATATCTGGTATAGAGCAAATAACATATCACATTGATATTCCCCTTTCATGTTATAATGCCATTAAGCCAACCAGTCGGAGAAAGACCTAGGATAATTTATAGACTTAATGATCCCATACTCTTTTTGGAACTGCTGTGCATTAACAACCAAGAGACTGACTACTGTGTCTTCCCATTTCTGGCCAGCGTAAATGAATCTAAATTGGGACTATTCTAAAAGGTTGTCTGCAAAGGCTGGTTCAGGAGCTTCCTGATTCACTGGAGGCTGGCCTGGGTCTAGCCTCGGCTGGTCAGAAGGAAAATGCTCCAATTGGGGAACAGTGAGAAGGCACTGGGACTCTTGGTGCTGTCACACAGATGACGATCACCTCAGAATTACTACGTACCCCACAAATCTCAAGCACCGAGTACATAAACCTCCTTCCAATTTCCCAACAACTCCAATGGCATGGGGAAGACGGTCACAGCTCCATGAGTCTTGACCAGGAAGACCCAGTGCAGATCCTTTAAATGCTCAGGGCATCTGCCCAGCACGGGGTCTGTCCCCAACATCTAGACTCAGGCCACAGCCCCAACTTACTGAGGAAGAGGAGGCCCTGGACCACAAGACTGACAATGTGTAAGCCCAGGAAAAATGAAGTTCCTTTCATTCACTTTCAGAGAAGGGATTGTTTTCGTTGGCTTATTTCTGGTTTGTTTCCTGCAAAGAAATGGTCCCTCCACTAAACACTTTGAAAACGGAGACACCCCACCCCCACCCCCACCCCAACTGTGGAGAAGAGTTTTCTGGGCACTAAGATCTCTTCGGCACGGTCCGCCCGGCACCGACTTACGCTGAGCTGGCCACAAAGGGCTTCCCTTCCACCGCCAAGGCGCTGAGCTCACCTCCGCGGAGGAAGAGGACGGTAAAAAGTATTTTGGAAAAATGCCCAAGAAAGGAAAAAGCTGGCCGGTTTCCTGAAGGGTGTCTCCATCCCTCCCGGCCTGTATGCGGTGACTTCCTACCCAAGGCCATCCGCGGAGTAGGGCCAAGCTCGGCTCTCCGACCTCGCAGGAAATGTCTGAAGCCGAGAAAGCCACTCGTAGGACTACCGGACTCCCTCTCGACACTGCTGCCAAGGGATGCCCCCGCAGTGCCAACATCCCCCTCGGCGCTCGGTCCCCACGCTGCCCGGCCCGGCGCTGGCCCCACCCTGGAGCAGAGCAGCTCCCCTTCCCCGGGGCTG